CTTATCCTTACAATCCATATGAAAACTTGTTGTTATCTATTCCTAAGCAATATCTCATAACTCCTAAGAAGTAGCTCAAGAATCCGATTTCAAACTACGCGATAGAAATCCATCTATGCGATCAGATTCAGCATATTCTTTCTTTAAGTTCCTTTACTTTTCTTTGATTCTTAAAACATTACCATGTGACCCAGTCACATCATGTATCAGGAATCTCAGAATAGAAACTTAACAGAGTTAGATAGTGGACTTTACCTGAAGTAGAGTCAACTTATTGACTTTAACATCCTTAGGTAAATTTGGCAGCTTCGCAACTAATGACCCTTTCTTTGGCAATATAAACATATGGACCCTTTGATAATGGTACACGGGACTATCACAGACTTAGCTTTTCTCTTTACCATTTGTTCAACCGAGTTGACTATGGCCGATCCCTTTCCATTGGGAAGAGAATGCTTTTTGTATTTCCAGTGTCACCATTGTCAATGTCCATAAAGTTTCAGGAAGTTGATCTTAACAATAGATAAGATCATTAAGGGTCTTGTCATAGTCTGTTTCATAGGTGTTCCAAAAGAACTCACTATGTGACTTAGAAAGTAGTTGAACCACCAACTTTCTCAAGACTTTGACACCCTTCTCTCCCGGCTTGTCAATATGTGACTACATCTCCAAGATGTGATCACACCTAGACCTTGCCTTGCCAATAGGGCTTGAGTGACCTTAAACTTTTCAAGAACTTGTAGGGTAGGGAGAATAATTGGAGGAGGTGAAAGAAGTATGATATCATCTTCATTTAGGAAAGCTTGTTTCAAGAGATTTGGGAAGATCATAAATGTCTAAACCAGACATGTTTTGGGAGATATTCAAGATAGTTGATTTAAAGTCCTTAATATGACACCCAATATGAAATATTAAGGCTAGGACCCAACAGACTATTTTATAACTTAGAAGAGGTATGCCGTAATCCAAGCTATAAAACAATTTGAAGGTAGGTGAATGACGATTCACCAATTTCCACCAAGATAAACGAAATGTATTATTAGGTTTTAATTGGTTTTGAAACTCCTAGATCTTTTGAGATTCATTGAACTGTTCAATGGCATGTTTCAATCTCGAGTGTGCCCTTCAGGTTTTGTGACTGGGATGCCGAGGATCACAAAACAAGGTGTGAAGTAACCATGCAAATTACTTGGTACCCTTAATAAATTACCCCTCAATCGATGTGCCGGTTAACCACACACGCTCCATCGATACTATGATAAATATTAAGTCACCCTTTGCCTACCTTGTTAAATCCAAGTTAGTGTGCCGGTTAACCACACACGCTCCACTAACCGACTTAAACAAAGTGCAAAGTGTAATTTCATGGATTAGCACCTTATTCACATTTTCCTAAGTAACTAAGATTGGGTATTTTAAGAGTTTAGTTACTTAGTATTTATCATTAATACTTTTAATGAAGGGAGAATTATAGTCCTGTCAAACCCGTTCGGCTAACGACCCTCCACCAGTCAAGCAAGCGGTGGGTGAGAGTGGACACCCATTAAGTTGCCATTTTATAGGCAACAACCTTATACCCACCTTATAGACCGGCTTCGTGAATGAGGCGTACTAGCGGTAAGACCGACTTTACTCTTATACATATATATATATATATATATATATATTAACTTATAATATTATAAAGTATAAGGGTTGAATTTTAACTTTTAAAATTCTAAGGGCTAACTTGGAATTAAAGTATTCATAAGAGAAAACTTTACAAATTCCAAAACTTGAGGGCAAGTTTTGAAACTATTCAAAACTAATTAATTCCATAACTTATGTGTTTAAAGTAGTTTTAATCCAAAAACTCTTCAAGTTCCATAACTTATGGAAGACTTTAAACTAATAAAAGAATTAACTTTTCTTTATTTTATAACTTATGGAATTAATTAAGGTTACATTATTTTTTTTTATTTATTTAATGAAGAGACTCTTGGTCCTCCATAACTTGAGGACAAATTATGGAGTCATAACTCCAATTAATTAGAACTAGACTCTTCATTTTTGTAACCTTTGCCAACTTTATGAGTTTTATGAGTCTTTAATGTGACTCTTCATGTAACTTGAGGACAAGTTACACAAACACATTTTATACTCAACTCTTAGATTAAAATGGATTGAAAACAACTATTTCAATTAACTTTTCTATTAATCTAAGCAACTCATAAGAACAAGATAATTCAAATCAAACTTTTTCATGTAATTAGTCTAACCTTTAAACTAATACAAAACATGAATCTATTGACAATTATCTTTGAAAATGGATTAGCATGAACATTACCACATTAAAAAACAAGTTTATAAGTTCAAAAACAACTTAGGGTAATGTTCCTAGTCCATTTCTAGCCAAAAACCTCGAAAATATGTTGTCTGGGGTCCAACTCGTCGAGTGCATGAACAAACTCGGCGAGTTGGATGCATTTTGCCTTGGACTCGTCGAGTCCCTTCATGGACTCGGCGAGTCTGCTGGGTAGACAGCAACAAAACTCGATTTTTCAGCTTCTATTGCAAGTATAACAAGAAAACAAGCCTAGGCTCTGATACCACTGTTGGGTTATGAGCATTCTAACACTCCTAAGTGTACATGCAACCCTAAATACCTTGGATCTATGTTTTCTCTATTATACATGCAAATATGAACATCCAAGGTATTATCCTAATCTAGCATACAAATATCAATATAACAAGATAGAATACATACCTCTTTGATGGTGCTTGTCTTCATGAAGCTTGAGTGCCTAGTGCCCCAAGTGTGACACCTCAAATGGTTCACAATCATCAAAACACTTAGAATAACTTAGAGAGAATTCTACACTTCATGAAATCGGCTAGCCCTTTCTTACTCTCACTAGTGGCCGATTTTTCCTCAAGAATAAGATGCTTATATAGTTATACAATTAGGGTAAACTCTAATTGTCATGACTTTCCATTTCCTTGGATCCATGGGTTCAAATATACCATGGAGCATCCATGGAGCATCATATGGGTTTTGGCCAAACTAGATAATCCATGGAGCATTAGCCCACTATACAAGTATGGATGATTTACACAATCAACCCATATATTTAATTAGTCTTCTTTTGATCACTTAATTAATCCTAGATTAATTCTTGATCAATACTAATTAAATAATCTTATTATTCTTATTATTAATATACTAGAACTTATAATATATTAATAACCATAAGTGTTTTATTTCTCTCATTATAGTCTATCCAAGTGCATGATGGTATGCAACCCAAATGGACCATGCCGGGTCGGGTCAAGTCTTACCAATTATAGTTATGGACTTAGACATTAATCCAACATGGTGTTCAGTGGAAGAGTTCGTGTCGGAGTTTGGAGCAGCGGGATCTTATCCTTTCAGCCGGCAGTTTCGAGGTGAGTTATCCTCACTATATCAACAGGGTCTAAGGCACCAAGGCCGGCCCTTTTATCGGATTGAGATACGGGTATCTGTTGTTATGTTATTGCTTTGATATGTTTGCATCCTGGTAGTTAGGATGGTATTCATTAGAGACCTGGTTAAGGTCGGTATCCTGGTATGTAGGGTGAGGCTATGCTAGTGACCGGTTAGGTCGGTATCCTGTTAGAGTATGTTGTGTTATGTGATCTGCTAGATCGGTTTGCCTGAATATGAATTGTTATGTGATTGTATGTTTATGTGCACATGGTTGTTTGGACTGGAGTTGGGTTGAGGCGGGTCCTGCTTCGTGCTGTAAGCCAAGATACCCAGGGCGGACTGGTTATTCCAAAGGCCCAGCGAGCGGTCCGGATAGGCTGTAGGCCCCACGAGGGCGGACCAGATGTGCCGAGGCTCGGAGAGTGGACCAGGCCGACTGAAGGCCCAGCGCGGGCAGACCAGTCATACTGTAGACTCAGAGAGTGGACCAAGTGGGTTGAAGGCTCGGTGCGGGCGGACCAACCACACTGCAGACTCGAAGGACATTATTGGACTCAGAGAGTGGACCAGGTGAGTTGAAGGCCCAGTGCGGGCGGACCAACCACACTGTAGACTCGAGGGACATGATTGGACTCGGAGGATGGACCCGATGGACTGAAGGCCCGACAAGGCTGACTAGTCCCACAGTAGACCCGATATGCATGACTGTTCTCTGATTCGTTATGAGATAGCATGATATGTGTATGGTATATGTGGTTGGTATTTTGGGGGTATCTCACTAAGCTTTCGGGCTTACAGTTGTGGTTTAATGTTTTTCAGGTTCTTCAGGAGACCGTGGCAAGGCAAAGGCGTGATCGTACCGCTCCTCATGATTTTGTAGTAATGTGATTCTGGGAATACTCCAAATGATTTGTATTGAAAACCTTTTTGTAATAATTTAATGAAATCGGGTTGTTTTTGAAAAATTTAAATTGGTTGGATTTTTCGGTCGTTACAATTACAACTAAGGACTAAAAATATCATTGTACTTTGAATGATGACAAGTACATAAAATAACATTGTACTTTGGTTTGTACTATGTGTACACAAAAGTAGGTACCATCCTAATGTACTTTCATCTATCAAAATACAAATTTTAGTATCGAAATAACATCAAAAACACAACTTGATTTTGCACCTAAGAATGCACCTTAAATAGAATTGTACTTTGGTGGGAACTTTGTATGTTAACAATTATTCTACTTTCATTCAACTAACTAACAACAATCCAAACCAATCAAAACACAACTCAATTTTGCACCTAAGAATGCACATAAAATAGCATTGTACTTTGGTTTGTACTTTATCAATTGACAAGTATTGTACTATCATCCAACTAAAAACAATCTTTAACATTAAAACGAAAGCTTAAACACAACACATATCTACCATTGCTGTAACTATTTTTGATTTGTCAATAATAATAAAAAATTTAGAATATAACAAGAAATATTTTTCATTAATATTCAACAACAATACCATTACAACCACGTCTTTGGTACAATAAACTGGTTCATGAACAATAATCGGGGTAATCGGGTAATCGATACCCCCAAAACACCATTGAAGAACTTTAATCCCATGAAACCAACAAAACCCTTAAAATAAGTCAAACAAACACCTAAATTAACCAACATTACATATACTAAACCAACTAACATCATTACCACCGAAACCAAGAGAACCCAACTAACATTAGTACCAAATACGACATCCACAAAAGGATTATGGTGGACCACATACCCACACTACTTCGAGGATCGATTAACCCAGCTCAAAACAACACCCACTCCAACAATCAAAATCCATTGACTGAAATTGAACCTTCTCTGCATCACCGCCATCTGGTCCCTTATTTCGAGGAGCTTTTGGTTGATGTCGTTTCTCATGTTTTTCCATTTCGACATGCATCTCCATCGACAATAACTTGTATTCAGTGGGGATGTCTAAGTCTGACGCATGGAATCCTCCGTAGGAAAAGCTACCTACTGACGCCATGATCGTCGAGAGGAATGAAAGTTATAAAGATAGGACGGAAAAGGCTAGACAACTGTTGACAATGTAAGGATGTTTAACCTAAAAGGGGAATACGATTATATATAGGGGACCACAAGCCACCTAAGAACCCTTGCTCCTCAAAGGTTGTACTGTTCGTGCCACGTAATGGTCCAAGTCGGCTTTAATGTATCCTGCATGTAAGTCCACATCATCGAGATTTTTCATTCGTGTCACTAAAACCTAATGTAAAGGGTTAAATGACATTTTAAAACGATCATACAGGACTTCATTACCTTTTTGGAACAAAAAAATAAATTAATGATCTTTTAAACCAAACGTGACAAATTCATTGGGCTAATATAATATTTCCCCTTTCAACGTCAACCTATATAAGACGTAAAGAGTTACCATGTTAATTAAACATAGATCTAAAAATCCACTATGTGCTACTCTATTACCAAATATAAAAACAACAGATTTAAACAATATTAACATTGTAGTTATTACAAACTTAAACTCACAACAAATGTTTATAAAATATAAGATAAATGTTCAACTTAAGTTTTACAACATTTATTACTATGATATTTTTTTTTAGAAATTGCTCTGCTACCCTTTCTTCTTTCAATTTTTGGTGCCCAAAATCTCATTTATTTGCTCTTCTACCCTTCCTTATTTCTTACTTTGCAAAATAAGCGTTGCAACTTAGCTCAGCTATACATTCTCGGTGTTTGGTGATCTTTTCACTTTTAGTCCCTATGACAAATTTAGCAGAGCATTAAAATATTAGAACCCACGTTCATTTTATTTATATATAAATCTGTTTAACACAAGGATCACAATGTTATTGTTTATTTCAACCAATCATCATAATTCCAAACAAATCAAAAAAAAAAAATAACACCATATTCTATAGTTGGTAAGAATGATTAACAAATGGATAATGTTAATTAAGTAACCCAACTTTTGTAAAAGTGTCACACAGGCCCCTGAACTATATAAAAGTGATGTTACCTGCAATACTTCTTGAACCAAACTCCAATGTTAACAAAGCTTTCAAAATCTGATTGTGGTCTACAATACAAAAAAATAATAAATAATTAAATAAAAAGATTTTTCAAATTACATTGCTATTTCTTGCATCTAAGTATAGAAGAGTTGAAGGAAATGTTCACCTGTTAATAGGATGTATATCTTGAGGAAAAACAATCACTTTCAATGGAACTCCTTTTTCCTTTAATGCCCTTGCAAACTTTACATATATTTAAACATTTCAAACAAATAATAAAAGTATGTTATTGTTTCTTGCAATTTAACCCTATTTTATAAAATGAAGATCAATAATAATACTCACTTGCAATCCATTTGTAACTGGAACACGGATATCTTTAGCACTTAAGAGGAATAGTGTAGGAGTTTTCACCTTGAAAAAAAAAAAAAAAAGCAAATTAAATCAAATAAAACCAAAAGACAAATAAGGTTATTCCCATTTACAATGTTGTAATATAATATGTAAATGCATTATACCTTTGACACATGTGAAATGGGTGATTTTTCATGAAAAAAAGATAGGAGTTCAGATGAAGGGGCTTCAGTATATAAAGAAAGCCCCTCATTTCCAAATGATTCCACAAAGCACCAATCTGGAATATCTGATGTCCCCACCATTAAACCAAGATTACACACAGGGTTCCTCACACAAGCTGCAACAAATTTATCGGGTGCCTGTATAATAATAGCCAAAAAAATTATAAAATGTGGGGGTGTTTTCGAGAAATAATAAAAAAGTTGAGGGGTTATTTGGAAGCGTTTAGAAGGTTGAGGGTTTTTTTCGGAAAAAAAAAAAATACAAAGTTGAGGGCTTTTTCAGAAAAAATGAAAAAATACAAGGTCTTTTTCAGGCAAAAAGTAAATTTGAGATTAACCCTTTTCCCGTAAAAGCACTCAACCTTCTAAATGTTTCCGAATCAATCCTCACCTTTTTTAGTTTTTTTTTCCGGGAAAAAACCCTCATATTTTACAACTTTTTTCGGAAAAAAAAATGACTAAAAGGGTCAGATCGAAAAAAATGAAAAAATGCATTCAGGAAAAAAATAAAGATTTGAGGTTTAATCCGGAAAAAAAAAAAAAACACAAAATATATGGTCATTTATGAGATTAATGAACCCCTATAATTGGGTTGAATTTATAATAAACAAATCAATATATAGAAGAAGGGCCCACTTTAATACCTGTCCAATCAAGTGTGAAGCTAAGAAACCACCATGTGATAAACCAACCACAGTTATTTTCAAAGGATTTGCAAGCCTCATATCAATCACATGATCTATAGCTGAAAGGACATCGTTTACATCCTTCATACAAAACAATTTTTTTTTAAGATAAAGACATGACGGGAGAGACAAGGGCAAAATGGTCATTTTCATAAAGTTAACAAACGGGTTGCTAAATTAGATGCCAAAGAAAAACGTTAAGAACCAGTGAAACGGGGATGAAAAATGCAACAAACTTCTTTTTGGACCACAACTAAAAAGAAGTTATATATGAATTGACCAATTTGCCCTTTACTAAAATGATGTTGAAATCTTTATGTATATGTAAAAAAAAGGCACCTGTGATCCGACTTTTCCTGGAAGTGATTGCAATGCTTCCTCACCAAATCCAAGTGAACCTCTGTAAGAACATTGATAATAGTTTAAGGAAATGCTTCCAATATACATGAAATGACCAATTTGCCCTTTACTATTTTTGTTAGTAGTACTTTCATTTATTTGTTTGTTATAGCATTCCAAAATTACACAAATAAATGGAAGAAAAAACTTGCCTGTAATTCACAACTAACAAGCTAAAGCCAATTGAAGCAAGAAAAGCAGATGACTTGGAGAAGCTTGTTAATGAAACATCTTGTGGGCCCCCATGAAGGATTACAGTTAATGGATTACACGTATGATCATGCTTTAATTTTGAGGACACAAATATAGCATCAAAAGGTTTGCATGCTCCTAAATTAGATTAAGTTATAATCTGTAATTAGATTTAATGCAAATCAAACAAGACTGTTTCTTAGGTTTCATTTATTTATGAAAAAGTAAATGGGGACAAATTTGTAAATAGTCAAGAGTTATGTGAAAGCCTCCTTAATACCTTTTGTTAGATTGTTGGAGACACTCTTGATGGGTATCTTCAATATCTCAAATTCAAGGGGTGAAAGTAAAGATTTTACCTGTTTAGATCATACAAAAAAACGTTTTTTTTTTTCTTTTTTGTTTAAATATTAATAGGTAGAAATACATCTTGTTGTATTCAAGTTCCAAAAGAGCTTCATAAAGGACATAACATGAACATGAACATGAACATACTTTCTCTTGACATTCAGATATTGGGCTTGAAACATCCCGCCAGTGCCAGGTGGCATCTTTTGATTTGTCTTTAGTTAGACTACCATATTTGATCTGAGGTACATCTATAGGGCTGCTACATACTTCAAAACGAAAAAAAAGTCACCACAGTTTTTTGTTCTCTTATACTTCATAAATTATCATGTAACATATAAAATTCTCAATGGAATAATACAAAAGATTAGGTTTATATATATTACAAGCAAGGATGTTGTTTCCATCAACTGAAAGTAAACTCCATGAATGATTTGAATCAATAGGAGTGATTCTTGAAACTTTCCCACTGAAAATAAAGTAATGAAAAATCCCAATTAGAGAATCTATAATGCAATTGAAAAAAAAATACCCATTGATTATATTATATTTAATATACCTTAGCATATTTACAGAAAGTATGACTTCTTTACTTCCCCAAATGGAAGAAAAGATCATTGTAAATCCATCTGAAAGCCATGGTTTACTAATCATATCAAAACAGTAAATCCCAGGAAAACAATCATCCTCATGACACATCACAACAGGAACCTAAAAAAAATCAAATGTTTCTACTTAGTAAGTTTGAAATTTATAAAATTTATGTTTCAAGATTAATAAATCATTTTGTTCTCAAATCACACCACATCAATGATCTTAGCAGGATGTGGTTCTCCTTCACTATTCCATTCGATTTTATGAAGAGAGTTTGTAGCATTATGTGATCCAGAATCTACAGCACTTTTAGCAGATAAAAACACAAGAAACTTTCCATCTGGACTGAAAAGTGAAAAACATAAAGTTATTGATCCAATTATGTAAATTTTCAAGCACACACACACACACACTTACGTGAATCTTGGAAGAAAAGCACTACTTGTGGCTTCACTCAAATTGATCAATGATACATTATTTGTAGCATTCTCTTTGAGTTTTAATCCAAATAATGGAGCTTTTACAGCATATAAGGAACAAGGTCTATTAGTGCAATACTTCATTCCAAATTTCCTATTGCTTAAAGGCCACCCAACAAAAACCAGATATTGATGGGACCCTTTTGTTGGTGGGCCCCACACAACTTGTCCTACACTCAATGAACTTCCAATGTCTACAGCACAAACCTCTCCACTGTAATAACAAACCAAAAAAGAATAAAGATAATAAATTTTTTAGGGAAAAATGTAAGAAATAGCAATGTAACATGATGATTTGGACTATGATGACATGGCAAAAGTTAATAACTTTATATGCCATGTTATTGTTCAATATAGAATGTCTATGGAAAAAATAGGAAATTGTCTAACCTGTTGATATTAATCACAAACAAAGCAGGATGCTTTTTTCCAGAATAGGCTTCACCCCAGTCTTCTTCCCAATCCCCTTGACCTTTCCAGCTATTATAATCTTTATCAGTGGGACCCACATCCTTTTTGTAACCCGAATTGTTAAATGTTGGTTTGTGGAAACCCGATTCCTCTGCCACATAAGCAATGAGACTTTCATCTGGGCTCCATGAAATTCCCTCAAACCTGATTCATCAGAAGCTATGATTCTATAATCTATACTTTTTTTTTTCAAATTTGAAAGATTGATGCAGAAAAAATTACCATCCATCTGAATACACAGAAC